GATTTAAAATAAACTTAGGGAAGAAAAATTAATAAAAGAGTATAAGTATTTTACTTTTCAGTGAAATAGTTCAAGATATCGCTGAAACTGGAAAGGTAATGCATAATCCTAGAAATCAATATTTTTCCATCCTAAGTCCAAAAAGTAAAATGGTCTGAAGAAATAATAATTTCAAGGTACTAAAATCTTATTAATTGGAAATGATAATCTTTATTCTTAAGAGTACTTAACCATTCTTTCAATCTAGCTTATCATGCATTAATTTGCATTTCCTATTTGTATAAATCAACTTAAGGGTTTATTTAATTAAAAATTACTGAAATGATAAATTTAGCCTTATAATTGATATGATACTTTATTCAACTATTTCATGAAGTGTGTGATACAAAAAAAAATAAAACTAATATAAAATTCATAGAAAATGGTATTAACATGGTAATTGAGAATAATTGTAGGAGTTTAAAACAATCTCATTAAATTAAAACAAAAAATTTAAATGCTCCTAAATCTTCATGGTCTTCGACCGGCTACAGGGCCATCAAGCATTGGCAACCCATTAAGGAAGGTGCTGAAATAGATTCCCCATGTCCATGGTTTCTTTCAGAAACAAATCTTGCAGGCGGGAGATTCAAGGATGTAAATTCGTAGGTAATCCCCAGAATCAGCTTAGCGATTGCCAACCTTCCTCGCTCATATTTCATATAGGATAAACTTTCTGCAGTTTGTAATTATCTTACTTACGGCAAATGAAGGACTGAGTAACAAATAATATAATATCATGCATTATATTATTATTATTACAAAGTCATGTTATATATAGTTAAGAGACAGTAAAAATAAATCTAAAAAATAGATCAGTAAACCTATATTTATTGAACTAAGTTAGAAATTAAAATCTCATGAATATATTGAGAGATATCTCAAATATAAATAGACATCTATGTAGATTTAAATTTTGAAATTAATTTATTATAAAATAACAATAATCATAATTTTTGATTCATTATGGTATTTTATTAGAAAAGATAGACGGACTGGCTGGTCTAGATGAAAAACTATCTTTCAAACATGCGGAAAGGTGTTCAAGATAAGTTTCAGGATTATTCCAGAATTGATGTCAAACTTGGTACAAATTTGTTAGTAATCATAAAGCTTCCGGAAGTTTCCAAAGTTCAACTATGATATGCTCTTAAGTATCCAAAATATCATACTACGTATGTTATATTCACTAGGGAGCCTGATCTTTTATTAAAAAAGTACCTATGTATGTTCTAGCTATTGATATTCAACTTTATTATGTTCCAGATAATGATGAGTTAACTTTTAACTTTTAATGCTAATAAATATTGAAATATAATTATAAACAAAGATGAGCTTATTTTTTTAAGTGGATTAAGAATATTTAATGCTGGACCAATTTCTCATTCAGAAATAAAAATTCAACTCTATTTATGACAATAGATGTCTACTTAAAAAATATTGAGTACCCCATTGATTATGAATAGAAAAATTGAAATTCATAATTCTCTTTATGTTTCCTATTATAAAGTTGTTCTCAATCATGTACACTTGTATACTCTT